CTTTCCCGGGTTGCCTATCACTCCCTAACCAAAGATAAACTCCAGGAAATATGTCTTTACTAAATATTGTATGTGGGACAGATCCTGGAATTAATGTCATGGATTGACAGTTAATTAATCAGTCTTCAACTAGTCCAAGATTTACTGAGTACCTACTATGTGCACGGCACTTTGTAGGCACTGAAGGTGAGACTGAGGACTGCCCTCAGGGAGCTGACAGTCAGACACGGAGGACACATGTAGAGGCTGTTTCTGACAGAAACGGCAGCTGAAGAAAAGGCCCTCGAGAATCTGCTCTCAAGAAAAACATTAAAATAGGCTTATTAATTATTCATGGAATTTAATAAGCACTTCTAGAGCATTAGGAATTCTCGAAGAGCACTTGGCCTCTTTGGTCTGTTAAGCGTTTCCTTTGTAATAGTCCTGCTAATAACGTGTGCTTTCTCTGAAGGAAGGCCTTACTGAGTCTGGGTGAACCTCCTCCCAGACCTGATCTGAATTCTGAATCAGAGCTGATCTAATACATTTACTATTCATGGCTGTGTGGCTGTCAGCCAGGTCAGGAACCACAAAACTGTCACCAGGTGCTGGGGTTCAACATGCTCATCTGCCTCTCATGAAAGGCAAAAGGAAAGTCACTATCACTTCCCTTCCTGCCCCAAGATGGTGCTCAGGGGAGCCATGAGTGGCTCTATTGCCCTTGCCCAATTTACCTGCCTTTTCGACAGGGCAAAGGGTGGTTTGCCTCGGTAATAAATTCTGAAATCTAATTTCGTCTTCTGGCATCCATGGCTGAGCGCATCTTCCTTTCCCATGGGCACCTCCACAAATCACTCAGGAACACCTTGTGCTGAGTAAGAGAAAATGATGAAGCACCTGAAGGGGCATCACTCTGCAGCCTTGAGGCAATCCCTGGGACTTACTGACACACACCGACACCATCTGCAAGACCCCACCTGTTAGACTTCACACTATAAAAAAAAAAAAACCCTACCAAAAAAGTGCCATACCCATCCATTTTGAAAGGTCGGTGAGCCAAGGGGAATCTTTCTCAAGCCCCTTTGAGAAGAATCCCCACGGGTATCTTAGAAAAGCTAAGGATTCCTCCTGTCCAGCATCCATCTTGAAGAGCATGCTTGGGGATTCTTGCTTCTACATAAAGCTGAGCCTGACCACGGAAGTCTAAGAGCAAAGGCAGCTAGCTCAGTGGAAACACTCCTAAATCCTGGAGATGCAGACTGGACCTCAGGAAGTCCCCTGTTCCAGACACTGTTTCTTACATGGCAGGGAAGTTGGAGGCGGGAAATGGAAACCACAGGTGGTCCTGGCCTATAATCCCAGCTACGCTGGAGGCTGAGACAGGAGAACCACAAGTTTATGGCCCAGTAGAGCTATAAAGCAAGCACAAGGTCAGCATGAGCAATTCAGAGAGACCCTGTCTCAAAATGAAGAGTTAGGGAGAAAGTCTAAGGTTATAATGCTGTAGGAGAGCACTTGTGTGGCCGGTGTGAGGCCTTGGCTGCAGAGGTTGGAGGACACCTTGTGGATATGGGGATCAAGCTCAGCTTGCTGGCTTGGCAAAAAGCGCCGCCTTTCCGGGAGCTATCTCACTAGCCCACACACTCTGTTTTCAAGTGTGTCCGGCCCATTCAGAGGCCTTCATGTCCTGGACATTGCTGGGTTTCTCTCTTCCTGCTCCATTGTGAAGGAGGAGCCTGTGTACACCACATGCTCTGGCCCATCCGGGTCACTTCCCATTCTTAGATTTAGTGGTTGAAACATAGACATGAAAGGGGACTAAGTTTTCCTCTCACTGTGTTTTCTGTCCCCGGCCTTCTTATCAATCTGAGCATGCTGCTTGTGAAGTCTGGTGCAGTGGTTGACAGCCCGAGAGACTGATCCCAGATGAATTTCCAACCCCTAAACTACACACCTCAAAGCTCTTTGACCACTGTCTGGTTTTCTGTGGTCCGGAAATAGAGACACTGCAGAAGAGGTTTGGCTCTTCATAAAGGAATTTGCCAACAAAGCCCTGCTTTCCTGTGCTCAAAGCAAAGGCAATACCTTATGACACACTCATGGTAGATCTAGCCACTGCACAGCCAGCAAACACTGGATCACAAAGCAGCTCTTCCAGGCACTTGGACTGGTTTCCCCAAGCCAGAAACCTGCCAGATGCCATTTTTAAACCAGAATACGGTGAGTCCTAGCCGCTGGGTGTGTGTATGTGTATACTGTGTTGAGCGTGTGTGTATGTGATAGGCACACACGTGTGTGAGAGGTGTGTGTGTGTGTGTGTGTGTGTGTGTGTGTGTGTGTGTGTAGTTTAGATCCAGAAGAGAACATCCCGTGTCCTGACCCACCTTAGTCTCTTGAGACAGGTGGATCTACTTCGATCAAAGCTGGCTAGCAAGCCCCGAAGCATTCCCTGCCTCTGCCCCACACAGTGCTGTGGTTACAGGTACCACAGAACCATGCCTAGCTTTTTACTGAAGAGCCAGGATCCAAGCTCAGGTCTCCAAACAGCAAAGCAAGGTCTGTTACCTGCTGGCATCTCTCTCTAGCCCCTAGACTTAATCTTTTAGTGTTTTTGTTCTTGATTCAGGGTCTCATATACCCCAGGCTGGCCTTGAACTCGCTGTGTAGGCAAGGATGACCTTCAACTTCTGATCTTTCTGCCTCCACCTCCCAAATGTGGAGTTTACAAGTATGTGCCACCACACTCAGTGTATATAGTTTTGGGGATCAAACGCAGCTTTATGTATGCTAGACAAGTCTACCAACTGAGCTGTACCCCAACCTTAAATTATTTTTTTTAGTTGCATTTAAGCACATAGACAGTTCAAGAGAAAGGTACAGATGCTGCCCACATACTTCCTGACCCCGCCGGGCACAACCTCCCCCACATCAACATGGCCGTCACAGTGGTTCTTTTATGAATGCTGGGCCTGCCAAAGCCCGTTGTTTGTATTAGAGCTCAGCCTTAGTGCTGCGCATCTTAGGGTTGAAACAAATGTGTAAGGGAGGGTATCTGTGACGCTCTATCTGCGGTGCTCTGCAGTGCCCACGCCCTTCTCACGCCGGGAACTATCCTCCCTGCCCTGCTTTCTCCTGGCCACCATAAGCCTAGATTTTTGTTAGCCACAAACTCTGCCTTCACCCTGGCTCTGATGTCCTGTCCTGATTAAGACTTGCTAATGTTTCTTTTAAACTGAATTTCTTCAGTTGGTAGCAAAGATAAAAATCATATAATGCCTTACTCCGGGCTTAAATTATATGGTCTAATTGTAAGAAAACTTCTAAACTTTGAGAATCACCTATTTTTTCAACATGCTGCTTAGAGTACAGGAAATGAACAGGACAAACACAAGCTCAGCACTGGACAGCTGGTAACTGTTTCATGGCTCAGGCCTTGCTTAGCCGCTTTTATGTATCTCAAAAAATCCCCAGTCTTTTGGGGGCCTCTCTGTAACTCACGGCGACACTGGGCTCATCAGGGCAGTAGGTTTTCGAGCTGAGCCCGACCTGTTCTGATGCGTTTCTAGCACAGGGTCAAAGCTCTGCTCAGCTCTCACTGCGGTTCCCTCTCCACCTTCCCAGCCCTGCGCTTCCACCACATTCCTGGCCCTTTTCTCTCCCCTTCTGGGCCTGCAGTTTCCTAGCTGGCACATATGTTTTCAAGCCGAGCGAAGGCCGTGTTTGAAACCCAGCAAGAGCCTTCTCTGTGTGACACTGAAGCAGCTTGATCATTTCCACATGAAATTACTTGCTTCTTGGCAGGACTAAATGGCAAACTCAATTAGTAAATCCTGAATTTAATTTCCACTCTGACATTCATTGTCGAGCTCTGACTTCCTGACCACAGAGAGGTTCTTCTCTGTATTTAACCACTGTGTTAGGCAGGTCCCTGCTGCACTCTTCCTTGGCTCCTCCCCCCTTCATGAGCACAGCATGCTAGACAAAACACCCCCATCACGTAATCTCAAACCTATGTGGAGTCCTGGTTCATTCTGGACAGGCAAGCCAGATCCCGTGTAGGGAGCAAGCTGAGTGTGTACGGGAATGTCATCAGGACTCTGGCAAAGAGGAGGAAAGCATGTCTGAGTCCCACGGACTGAGTGCTGTGGATAACATTAACCTCATAGTGAGCCCATACCCATCTCTCACCCCATATCAAGACAGAGCACAGGAGCAGACATGGTAGGGCCTCTCCTGGCCATTTGTATCTTGGGGTCCATTGACCTGAATATTCCAGAATTTCTGGTGCCCATGATTGTGTAGCTAGAGAACTGCAGCCCATCGCCTGCGGCTGGACATACACCAAGAGGTTGTAGGTTGATTCAAGTGATCTTAAAGACTGGCTCAAAACCGCAGCCACAGCAGGTGGGCGGCAGGGTGGAATGGACAAGGTGCTGTTATATTTTTTTTCTGCTTTATATTTTTTTCTAGAAAGGAATTATATCCAGCAAGTCAACTGCATTGAATATGTATAAGCAGAGTGTTATAGGTGAGAACTATAGGAATTTATGAGAACATTAGAGAAAATAAAAATGTGAACATGGGAACTCCATGTCTGTATCTTAGGATTTCTTAAAATTTAGAAACAATTGCTATGACTGATTCTCAAATGACAGCTTCTATCACTAAGACATCCATTATTATGTGAAAAAATTGTAAGACTTCTGGCATTGCCAGTTCAAATTTTATTCACATTTGTGCCTCCCTAAAAGCACCTCAGGATGCCCTCGGTATTTTGAGAAAAAAAAAAAAAAGAGTCTACTTTTGAAATATACATATAGCTCGGTCTTTTACTAATTTCACTTGCTGCATGCCTAATAGGGTTAGCTTTACTTAAAGTTTTTATTCTTACTACCTAGATAATTTTTATTCAACTGCTCTAAACATACTAAGCAATCTTGACTCTAACAGTAATAATGTCTTTGTCACTGGTTCTGTGAATTCTAATGATTGGTCCTAGGCTATTCCTCCCCTTCCTTTAGGAATGGTACCTTCCAGTCTCTCCATGTGCATGAAAAGTGACAAGCATGGGTCCCCATATTTCTACTTATTGGGCCACCCTAAAGACACGGTTTGTAAATCTGCATGAATATTATCTTTCTCTAATGATCCTTGGTTTGCATATGTTTTTAACTGATGTATAATGCATTATTTCATAGTAGCTTGTCTAATTGCTGCTAGAATTCTGGAGAACATTTGTAATTGAGACCTTGTAAGTAAAAGGCTACAGTTAAGGGTTCATGAGAATCTGAGAGGCATCACATTCTAGGGGGACCAGTCTAGTGTGCCCATTATAGGAAAATTGCATGTGGGGTATCAAAAGAGCCTGTGCTAGCTGAGTTCTGCCCCACAGACGCTTGGGCCTCCTGGGTATTATTTAGTTCTTCTTAAGCCAAGCACACAAATGCAACCGTTTCTACGTTAGAAAGAGCCGCTGGTAGCAGACCCTCTGACCCTAAGGACTCTAGGCTCCACTGGCATCATGGGTATTTCCCAGCCTGATTTGTGGCAGTTCGACTATCCAGATCTTCAGATCTTCCTTCCTCCATACTCTGTGATGTGTCATGTTTAATGGGAAATATTTTTCTTAAAAAACCTGCTTGTGATTATTTATGAAACAGTCATGAGATTACATTCAGACAGTATTCCAGTTTCTAAATGAATTTTCTCAGGTCTAACATTTTGTGAAAATTCTCAAGGAAAGAAAAAGTATGCTCCACAGAAATAAACAAGATGTAGGTGGCAGCTTCGTAACTACGGCCCGGGCACCAAATGCTTGCCTAGAGCAGTCCGCGTTCCCACTGGAAGTCCTGCAGGCCTGTGGCTACTGCCTCGCTTTAATTGGACTGGGACTTGAAAATGTCAGATGGACTTGTTAGCAGCAACTAAAGCTCACACTCACTCTCCACAGCTGGCCATGTAAGTGTGACCCACACTGAATTATGTCTCAATGCTGGTTTGACCCAGTTCACGCAGCTGCAGGCATGGCTAAGCATCTCACCACCGTATTCATTTAAGCTAGTTCTCTGACTTTTTTCTGAAACATACTTCCCAATTCTTAATGACCTTGCTAATTATCATCCAGGAATAATTTAGATTTAACACAGAAGATGATATTATTCACGAATTGTATAATTGACCTACTAGTGATTTATACTGATAGAAATATCTGCATGTGTACTCTATCACAGTCATTCCTTGAAGATGTCTACCAAAAAAAAGGTTTTAAATGTATCACCACCTCTGTGAAGTGTCTGTTTTACATGGATTACTTACTGATCAGGGGAAATCAAAATTAGGGCATAAAGCAGGAAAATGCAGTGTACTAGGGCCATGAAGTTATCAATGGAGACACCCAGCCCAGTGACCAGAGGATAAGTCTCTGTTATGACAAAAGAAAGCCGTTTTTCCATACAAGTTATTCAGTATAACCCATGGGAATGAGGGCCTACGCCAGCTCTCTCAAGACACTGAGGGAAAGGGGGCTGGGAGGCACAGTGACTGGATACCTGCCCTGGATTCAACCGTGATTGGGGAGGGGCCTCTGTGGTCTCAGTTTGACTCCACAGCTCTGTGAAGTGCCTCCTGTGTCCAGGCATCTCACCTGTTACTATGACTATGGAGGTAACTAAGAGAATGTGCAGCCACAACCTGGTGGGGGAGAACAAGGGAAGATCGGGGAGTGAAGCAAATGTATTCTTAGCAGAGGATGATAAGAACTCCAAGTGGGCAGCCTGCTAGAGCTGCCTAGAAGAGTTCCAGAACATTCCACCTGAGATGGGACATCTTCCTCGAGCCTTTAGCAATAAGTGCAGTTCCACCTGAGCAGAAAAGATGTCAGGCTGTGCTAAAGGGAGAAGCAGCAGCTAACGCAACACCAGGGAAATGTATGCATGGCCTAAAGGGGGTGCAGACAATGGAGGAGCAGCTCTAAAAAGGGCCTTCCAGGGCTGGGCAGCAGTGCTGATGGAAGTGCGTGCACATTCTTAGCAAGGCCTCAGTCAATTACCAGTTCAAAATAAAACGTATACAAAGGACTTCACAGCTTATGTGGAAGGATAAAGACATCTCAGCATGCCGGGTGGTGGCACACGCCTTTAGACCCAGCACTCGGAAGGCTGAGGCAGGCGGATCTCTGAGTTCAAGGCCAGCCTGGTCTACAGACCGAGTTCCAGGACAGGCTCCCAAGTTACACAGAGAAACTCTGTCTCAAAAAACAAAAAGAAAAAGATACCTCAGCACTATTTAAGATGGATTTTATTTTGGAAATGGAAGCAGTTAAAATGCTATAGCAAAAACTGAGGTAAAAGCAAATAATGTGAGGTCCAGAATCAGGGATCTAGTGGTATGGAAACAGCATGTGAGACTGACCTGGTAGATGGTTTAATACTTCACTGATTGGAAACAGGAAAGGCAGATGAGCAGCAGATGTGAGGAGAGCCCTGGAGGGCACTAACGGGTCTGTTTAGGACTATGTGTCAGGTGTCTAAAGACACGTGCAGGAGGCAATCCTGAACAATACTCAGGGTGCTGAGTACAGCTCTTGGGAAGGGGGGCCCGGAAGTACAGGAGTCTTGGGAGAACAGAGAGGCCCAGGACTGGGGCTGGGCTCCCCCAGAGAAGTGCATTATGGACACAGAGTCTACACAGCACAACCATGGCAAATAGAAGCTGGTCGTGATTGGGAGATGGGAGTGGTACTGAGCCAGGCCAGTTTGGTCCACATTGCACAGGCAAGTACTTCAAAACCAGGTTAATTTCCAAGCCAGCCAAGCATGGAGGGAGGCAGCCAAGTCTCGTGTGTGCCTCCCCAAGGATAAGTTTTGGGGCATTGATAGGATAAGAAAGCAAGGTGATGTAAGGCATAGAGAAAGGTGATTGGAGGTGACGTGGTCTATAGACACATACTTAATCTTCATGACTCTTCACGTGATACACATTTAGAAAATGGTGGCCTTAGCATGGTCTAAGCATTTTCAGACTTCTAATGCCAAGTGGTCACCACAGGACATTTGCCCTAGACCCAAGTGCAGAGTTGGTGGGTTTGACCAAACTGACCTCAAATGCTGAAAACTAATATAGGTGATCGTTATTATCAAAACCCAAGACAGGCCTGTAATGACAGCTGCTTAAGAGGCCAAGGCCAGATAATCACAGGTTTGCCTGGGCTATATACAGAGTGAGTTCAAGCTCAGCCTAGGAAATTTAGGGAGATCCTATCTCAAAAGGTAAAAAGGGCTGAGGATACAGCTTAGTGGTAAAGCACATGCCTAGCATTGTGAGGGTCTGTTTTAATTCCCCAGTGATGAAAAAAGGAAGAAAGAGAAGAGAAGAAAAATGAGGAGGAGTTGTGGACAGTCAAGCTGTGGGGACTCAGTTGTATAAGCTTCATAATGTGAAGTCTTTAAAGTCAGCAAAGGCAAGTGACGAAGGCAAGTGAAGGGCAGTGTTCAATTCCCCGGGCTTTCAGGAGTCGAAGAGGCAGGAAAGTGACGCTGAAGACAGGAGATGGGGACATTCTTAGGGGCTGCTGAGAGAGTTGCCTGCAAGATTCTAGATGAAAAACTAATTGTTCTCAAAGTGCAGAGAACAAGAGACTAAAGAGTGCTCGTCCACAAATAGAACGTCTACACCACACCACTCCCCAAGACTCAGGGGCTGGCACAGAACAGAGGGCGGGGGAGAGTAAAACCCAAATGGAAGACTGGAGTGAACCAGTGTCTTCTGGATATGACAGGGTCACTGGACTCCTGAACTCATTGTAGCTGTGGTTGCCTGCACAATATCCCACGAATCAACATTCCACCATGGAATGGAAGGGACTTGTGAGCCCCCCACCCCTACCTGAGGAGCTATAGGACAGCTGATGGTTTCTGGGGAGTGGGAGGCTATGGCCACTGACAGGTTGACCACACTCCAATAGATTGTCCTACACCTATACAGACAGCACAAACTGGAGTTTCAGTTTTTGAAAGGAAAGAGGAGATAAAGCTGGAGGCATAGGGATGTAGGGCAGATATGGGAGTAGTTAAGGGGAAGAATTGGGATGAGTATGATCAAACCACATTGTATTAATCAAAGAATTCATAAAAAATTTAAGTAGAACTCTCTACTGAAAAAATGCTACTATGAAATTTGTTTTCTTAAAACACAGCAGTATTGCCGAGCGGTGGTGGCGCACGCCTTTAATCCCTGCACTCGGGAGGTAGAGTTAGGTGGATCTCTATGAGTTGGAGGCCAGCCTGGTCTACAGAGTTAGTTCTAGGGCAGCCAGAGCTGTTATACAGAGAAACTCTGTCTCGAAAAACCTAGAAACAAATTTTTTAAAGCAGCATTCCAATGCTGGTAGTAAAGGGGAATATTATTTTATGTGGCTGTTCCACCATGACATAGGCTGAGAGAGGACCAGAAAATGAAGATTGGGCAAATTCGGGGATTAGAACCACACATTGCTGCCTGGGTGAGGTCAGAGCCAAGCATACAACTCAAAATAAATGCTTGCTGCTGTGAAGACTGGGAAACAGCCTGCCCTCACTCCCTGGACCTCACCACAGGCCATTCTTACATCCTGAGCCCATGGGAACCTGCTTGTGTGACATGCTCCTTGAGTAACCAGGTTCCTGCTGCTCCAGTCATGAAAAGAAGGTCCTGGTTTTCTGCCTTGTCTGTCAGAGTGCAGAGAGGTGAGGGAACATCTCATTTCTCTCATAAAGAAACATTCTCTTTGAGGAATATATAGGAAGAACACTTAATCACACCCCCATTGAAACTGCACACTGTATTACTTCTCTGGTCAGTGTTCTGAAAAGGAGTGTATTCTCTCTAATCTCTCTTTCCTGGTAGTAAGCTGCATTTAAAATCTAAATCCGTTAGAAACATTTCAGGAGTGGGAGAGTCTCCTTCAAGACCACCAATCTTGCCATGGTAACTGATTCCAATCTTCAGCCCCTGGGCCTCTCTCTAAGAGTTAACATTACAGGTCAGTGAAGTAGAACCTCTGATTGCTCCTCCAGGCTCTCCAGCTATCTTTCCATTTCTCTCTCTCTCTCTCTCTCTCTCTCTCTCTCTCTC